AAATAACAAATACTACCTGAACCTTAGCTATGCAAAGAATAGAAAGAAACTGCAACTGCAGTTCTGCTCATGCATTTGTAATTTTCAACAGAAAATCTGAATAGAGATCATCTATGCCTGATTGGTAATTTCTGGGAAAGAATCTCTGTAATTGAATGCTTGTTACACTCTATATTGTATGCATGTAAATTAAAGTAAGAAAGCCTCTAAGCCATAATCCAAGTCAACTATGAGCCTAATCAATCTATCATGCTTCTTGTAAGTTAGTAATGAGACGCTGGTAGGACTTCTCTAAGCTTGGGAGGGCCTGAAAAAAATCCAATAGTTTTACAAATCTGAGAATTCCAACAGAAATAAAGAAATTAAATGTACATTGTTATTATAAATAAAAGTTTCCAAATTTCAAGCCCAATTTAATACTGCCTTTGCCATGGCCCAGACTAAGGGGCGATATGTGACTTTGCTGCTACGTTGTGTTGCACAGTTTCAGCTTCCCATTTCTTTCAAGCCCTGAGGCTTCCCTCCCGCTCTTTCTCTCTGTAGTAGCCCAACCACGCTGCCTGACGTGATGGGAAAAGGAGAGGAGATCAGGTTAACATCCTTTGCTTGCCATCTCCAGCTCCACAAAGACTTCTGATTACTTAGTTCTCTCTTCTACCAATGGAATACTCTGCTTCTTCATCTTCCTTTAACGAACATGCAGTTGTACTTTTCCTCCATTTTCCTTCAGATGATGTTTGTAATCTAGGCTCCTAGACCATTCATACACGAAGGGAGTGGCACAACAGCTTTGCCAAGAAGTTTTTACAAGTTGTTATGAGTTACATCCTTTTGTTATGTCTGAAAAGCATCACACTGCTTCATGTTGTGCCATTTTCAGGCTAATGCATCTTGTCTCTCTGATGAATTGGCATATGGTTATGGTACAATTTAATATTCTGGTTTACTCTGGGCATCAGCTACAAGAAGGTGTTCAGCAATATCTTACCAGTATAATACAGACTTTCTCTCAGTGTAAAGTGAATAATTTGCAGTGGGAACACAGGGACCATGACCAGTAACATTCACCTTCAGATATTTTTATCACGCTCCTGCAATCTAGGCACTGCAAAATAAAACCAAAATTATATTGATAGATAATTCTTCAGAATCATCTTCAAAATCAATGCAACCTCTGCTAGGGCTGAGTCAGAGTTATTCAGAGAAGAGGGGTGAATGCCCCTGCGCTATGTTTGGAGGTAACTCTTCTGTCATTGGAAATAAAAAGCTATGCATGATGTACTTAAGCTGTATAAAAATTCCCAGTTGGTAATACATATTCTATTTTGAATGAAATAATTAAAAATGTTCTGTACAGAAAGCCCACAGCAAGTAATGTAGAAACAAAATAATATGACATTTTAGGATTTTCATTTTTTTCAGGAAATTTCTGGATTTCTGAATACTGTATTAGTGAATCAAAAGTGTTCCAAGAAAACAAGGAATTCAGCAGGCCCCAAATATATCACCAGAAGCCCATCAAGTTCAGGAAGCCAAGCCTGGAGGATTATGTATGAGTACTTTCTGTTTAACCACCTCATGTCTAGGGCCAGTGCAGGTAATTCACTTCCCAACACACTTGCAGTCTCCAGACTTGCTGGGCCTCACATCCCATCCCAGAAGTCCTTGAACCCTTGCCTTGCACCATACCTTCACTGTACAATAAGCATAGGGCTGCCCTGCAGCACTTGTCTCTCATCACAAAGCCAGAACCTGTCCCCAGGCTGCTTCAGTTTCCAGAGAAACATCCTGAAATCCCTAAACCAGAGCTGTATGAGGGCTCTCAGAAATGCCAACATTTCTATAGCAGTGCTGAGATGGAAGAGATGGAAGTTTGGGGCTGTTTGTAAACTGTGTAAAGCAGGGGTGCCCTGGGGCTCCCTTGCTGCTTTGTGGACCTCATTACTGGCACTGTGAATATCCCTGTCCCCTGAAGCAGCTGCTATGTGAGGGAAATATTTTGGTTCAGATACATTGAGTAAAAGTGCTTCTGGAATCACATTTTCTTTGATTTCTGGTTCACAGATTTCTGCTTGAAATAGAACAAATTGAATTTAAAGAATTAAATAATGTCTCATAAGCTGTGGACCCCAGCCCTACAGTCATCTCTGCCTGGCGCTGTTGCGTAGAATAAAAGTTGATTTAAGGACATTTCTGATTGCTTACCTGCTAGTGGATAAAACAATAACATGGTTGCTGGGTTTAGCTGTGTAGCTGCTTGTTTAGCTACACAGATAGCATGAGGTAACTACAGCCTTCACATTCGTGCTCCAAACAAATGTGCATGGTTTTGTCAACATCAGTCAATGCAGGAATCTTTAATGCAACATGTGAAATGGAAGTAGGAAGTAGGAAATACTCCAGCTCTGATTCAACACTGTATTCACTCAAATAATATACTCTTTTTAGAAACATTACCTGCAGCAATCTCTATTAGAGCAAAGAAAGAGGGAGAGCAATGAATTAACATTTATGCCTGTTAGTTGCTCCCTACGAAGTGACTAGTTTGGTGAATCTCTGGAGATCACCAAAAAGCATGATGCTTTCCTTTGTATTTTTTCCTGATCATGCCATATCCCTACAGGATTTCAGCTTTCTGCTCATTAACAACTTGGTGAAACAATTGCTGTACAAGCAAAGGTGGATGGGGAATTAAGTGGCAGCCACTCACCTTCCTATCTTCCTTGAACAGCATGCTGCAACCTGCTGCTTTGTTAACAGCCTGCTGGCATTACCCAAGTGGTATATAAGATAAGCAAATATGTTTGTTGTTTAAAGTGCAGCTTCTTCTGAGAACGAGGTCAAGGCAATACAAAGTATGTGCTGTTTTGTATACAACAGGCTTTGTTATGGGGTCAGTTGAAAACTGAGTAATAGCTTGCTTTCAAATATTTCCTATTTTAACAGCTGTCTCTACTCTAAACAGGAACTGAGCTTCTGAATGACAACATTGCTATGTGCTTAGTTTAACCTGCACTAGTTACCTTGACGTATTAGCCATGGAATTGAAGTCACCATGGAGCTGGCAACATACAGCCATCATGGGATTCAGGAAGGAAGCAGTTCTGTCCTTGCCCTTCTCAGCTTCATCCTTTTTTTTTGGCATCTGTGTCATTCCCTGCCAACACCATTGCCAGTAATTTCTAGCTCCTGTATAGCACCTTTCATCTATAGCTTCTGTAGAAGCATTCCTTCTATCTTCATTGAATACCTAACTTCCTCCTCCAGCCACATCTGGCATCTACAAATCTCTTCTTGCTCTCTTGGCAGCCTACTGGGCTAAGACTTTTGTCATCTAAGTAACAGCTGTGTCATGGGAGCGCCTCAACAAAGAGCAGCAAACTAGTCTTTGTTTCAGAGAATTATTTTAGATATGAAGTACCAGCAGCACTCCTAACTGACCACTCCTAGCTTTGGTCAGTTCACTGTCTAAAACAACTACAGATTGAGAAAGTCTCTGTATCACTTAAATAATTTCCTAGGGTGATATAAGTACAGGCAGGGGGGAGAATGGAATTATTCTTTGAGCTTAGGCAGAAACCAAGGCTGGGCTACTTTTGGAATCACAAAACTAATTTAAAAACAAAAGCAGTTACGCATGCAGAATTACAGCTCACCATCTGCCCCAAGGTGGGTACTACTGCCCCATATCTTCTTTAAATAAACATCTAAGAACGTAAAAAGCTCAGAAAACCCAGACCTCAGACTCTCAAAGTTGAGGCTGTCTTTACAGATAGCGAGAGTAGGAACATGGGAAAATAGCTAAGACTACTGTGATGCAAACTGTGCTCAACCTCTCCTTACCAGTTAGGAAAACTTGTAACCTAAGAAAGGACAACATGCTCTTCCTTTGTTCAAGATGATAAGAGGTTTCCAGAGTTTATACTTAGACAATAGCCTTCTTGATGAGCATCCACACTGCCTAACTTACGTGCTTAACCACAGTCTGCTCTCTACAGAATTTTAGCCATACAGTGGTCCCATATAAATACAATTCCAGGTACCTAGAGAAGATGCACATTGCAAAACCTGCACGTATTGCTGTGGTCTGAGAAGGGTATGAACAAGTGCTGCTGGGATGTAGCACATTCGTGGCTAGCATGGACCCCTTTGTGGATGACTGGCTCTGTATTTCCTTGACAGTTTGGAGGCATTATTTTGAGTACTGTTACAACAGAAAACTAAAAAAACATTTGGCTCTATTTGCTTTGTAAAATTAGTTCCATCAGCATTTTTAGGATGACTTTCTAAATCCAATAAAGGTCTAGTAAGCATTCATTAAATTAGAAGAATTATGGGTAAAGACAGAATTTGCAAATATATTTTTGCTTGGCTTTGCCTCACTGTTGGCACAGATATCTGGAGACTCTGATTCATGAACACTGTTTTCAGATCAGATTTACTTTTAAGACCAGAAGTACACTTACATTAAATGAACAACTTTGTGATGTGTTTGCCTCAGATTTTCTGAGAGAACACATGTCCTGGCAGTTCAAGTGATGATTGCTGTTAGAAAGCTTGCAAAATTCTTGTCTCAGAAATCCTTGCAGAGTTTAAAGTGGTCTTTGGGCTTTTTTACTTTATTATGGAATGCATAACAGATAACCAGAAATACTATCATTATATAAAAATAATATTAGAATATTAGCTTATTAGAAAGAGCTGATATAATTTAAAGAAAATGATTCAGAAAGAGGTGTAGCTTTGTATGCTAAACCTCAAGCAGTAGCTAATAGGCTGAGATTTACAAAGTATTCTGTGACAGAATACTTTGTAAATCTCAGCCTATTAGCTGAGATTTGTTATATCTTCCTTAAGGAAGGAAGCTTGTTTATTATATCTTCCTTACTTAATAACTTTGTGGGATTGAGAAGAACTTTCAGGGTGTTTCTTTCCAATTTCAGGAGAATAAAAAAATTGAGGATTCTATTCATAGTTTAATTGAACAGCTGGCTTAAATTGTAGTAGTCTATACTAAGAAGTTTGTAATTTGTCATGTTTTGATGCTACTTAATTGATTAAATATTCCTTGTTGCAGTAGCTAAAGAGCAAAATGGCCAGGGTACTGATATGAAATCTAACCAAAACCAGAGTTTGTATGGAAATCTAAGGAACTTTAATTTGACACTGATCTTGTCAACCAGCACAAGGTAAATACTACAGAGAACATAATGAATTTGAGAAGAAAAGCTCGATTGAAAAAAGAGATAAGTTCAGTATAAAAGAGAATTAACAACACTGTAAATTGCAGCAGACTATGAAAAAGGAGTGTGTTTAATTAAAAAAAAACCTGCTTTCTCATGTAGGAACATGCTGCCTGGGCTGTGTAAACATGCTGTCTGCCTAATCAAGGTTTACAAAGAGCTGGTAGCAGTGAAATAAAGTAAAACGCAGGGCCATGTGGCATTCTTTCATTTTGTTAATTACCCCCTACTTCATCTTTTTTGTTCCCAGGCATGAAGCAGCTTCACACTCTTTCACAGATTTGTAGTAAATTAGACTGTTCATTTAGAACAGTAAAACAATAGAATGGAGGTGAATCTGGAGGTCTGAGTGTTTCATCTAATGATGAGAGCTTGGAAGTTTTGCAGTTTACTATTGCACCAAGACTCCATGAACCTTTTGTAACGAATCGCAAATTGAGTCTTTGCTGAATGCAAATGGGAGAGGGAGGTACACTCAATGTTGTTCCTGATCTGCAGGGGAAGAAAAAGGCAGATTAACTTCTACACTGTACATTCACATTTCTGCAGATCTATAAAGCCATTTTGAGGGTAAAAGCCTCACCTCATCAGCTGTTGGAATTGACTTTGACAGACTTTGGCTTAGGGAAGAGGATCCTCATGGTACAAAGTGTCTTCAGACACTGAATCAATCAGACTAGGGGGAAAAAAAGGATTGAATTCCAGAATGCAAAGTCACAGCTCAGGTATATCTCAGCATAGTTTCCCATGACATAAAAATTATCCAAGAACACTGAAGAGCATAAGCATCAGTCAAATGCTATTCCCTAATTTTGTACCTTTTCTATTTCTCTACTTGGTATGTCTGTATGCAATTGAGGCTGCAGCCAATGTTTGCAATTTCCAATTCATAGATACTGTTAGGCAGTAATGATTTAACTATGTACAGATTACAGTTTTTTTTTTTTTGTTTTTTTTTGTTTTTTTTTTGTAAGTTTCAGGCTATGCTTTCAGCAAGACTTTTTTTTCCTGCATGTAACACCTTTTTGGGAATAATAAACTAAAATGAAAATGTGTAGTAATGCAAACAGGAGTGACTCGATTCTCAAATGCAATCACAGCAACTCAAAGATGAAGAACTGGAGCAAAACAAATTGTTTTAGTACTGAAACTTTTTACAATTTATACACAAAAAAAGCCATGAGGGAAAGAAATTTTGTAAGCTCAGTTCAGTCAGTAGTGATGGACATTCTGATTCTCCTGTACTTTTGGTGCATTATGTGAATCAGTAGTGGTCCAATGACAACAGTGGTCAGAATCTTCAAGTGGCAACAGCAACAGTAGACAGTGCAAAGCTGTGAATACAGCTCCTATATTTATGCTATTATTTCTTAAATATGAAGTTTAAAATTAAACTTTTTGGTAACCAGAAGACAAATTTTCTAAAATATATATACTTCCATCTGCTATTTTGCAAAACATATTTAGTTTAAAGTGAGCAGAATATATAATTTTTTTTCTGTAAAGACCAGATATTACTAATACTACTGCATCTTCTTTTCCTCCTGTCAACATTTTTTTCCTGCATATTCTGTCAGGGAATTACAGAAAAAAATACAAACATATGAAAAGCACCAGAATCCTGTGTTTACCTAATGATGAGTTTCGTTTTCATTCTGCTCCTGAACATAACGGAGCCTGCTTTCTCAGGAAGATCTAGAGTAAAAAGCCCAATCCATTTATTGTTTGCTTATCAAGCAACAATGGTTATTTGAATCTGTTTTCAAGAGAATAAAGCCAGTAAGTCTGTCTGCAACAGTCACATAAGAGAATATCATAAGATATGTATTCATTCTGGCATGTTCAGCTGGTGAATTTTTTCAGCCCAAAATTCAAAAAAGGAAGATAACGTAGACTATAACAGGACAATTAAGTCAGCATCACTATCGAGTAAAATGGGGGAACTGCGCTACGAAATTCAAGTGACACACAGTTAAAGATGAAATTAATGCCATCAGCACTGCTTTGAGGAAAACATTTTTGAGAATCTATCATTTAACAGAGAAAACTGCATGTGTGTAGTGTAGCCTACCTGGTTCTTGTTCAAGTGCTCAGTTTATCTTTGCAGCAAATTAGATAAATAAAAATGAGCTCACACAAATAGATTTGGCCTGACAGGATGACAGATTTCAAGAGCACAGTTTTATGAAAAAACAGCAATTGAAGTCAATGTGATATTTTGGATATCACAATATTTTGCAGTTTTTGGAACACATTAGGTCTGATAAAACTCAAGTTTTTCCACCAGTGATCCAAAAGTACTTTCAAAAACGTTGATCAAACTGTCAGATGACAAATATGGTTAAGTTCTGCAACTGAAAAGCAGTCATACAGAACATCAGAAATGATCTGAGAAATTGGTCCTAGCCATGAAGTTTTCTTTCTAAAAGTCTGTGGTGCAAAGTACCACACATAGATGCACAAAACATAGAAGACAGAACAAACTTAGAAGATGGCGGCCTCCACTCTGGAGTAGCATCTCAGGGAAGACTGCATGATATTTAGAAATTGCATCCTAAGGTCACGGTGTCAGTATAAAGAAAAAAATGTCCTGCAGCATAGAGTGTAAGCTCCTCTTTATGGAGAGACATTGAGGTAGGTGTTAGATATTCCTTTGCGGAGATTTGGAAAACATGCAGAAAAGACTTCTCACAGTGATCCAGGAGACAAAGAACACACTTAGCTCTTGCAAGAGATAAAGAGAACAATGTTTAGTAAGCATGAAAAATGAAGACGGAAGGGTGACGGGATTAAAACATACAAACACCTCCCTGAAGAGAAACAAGGGTTACTTGAAGTGCTCTTCAATTTAGCAAGGCAAGGCATAACTTGAATTACTTGATGTGAGCTAATGCCAGGAAAAATCAAATATAAAGTACAACTCTTCATCATGACAGTCATTAATCAAAGAAAATTATGAATGAAAGCAACTGATTCTGCAGCTCTGGATACCTTCATCAAGACTGCTTACCCTGCAAGAGCATATGTGAATGCAGCAGAGCTCTAACAGTGGCTATAATAGCATCATAGCCTGAGCCAGGGTAGTACAAAAAGGACTCTCACCATAGTCCACACACTGAGAGGAGTGGCAGTCTCCAGGAGCAGGAGCCATACTTACATCTGCTGGTGATGGACTAGGGCACAGCTTTGCTTTTTTCCTCTCACATAGACCCTGCCCACATTACCCTGCCAACAGCACTCACTGAGAAAGAGCTTTGAAAATGAGAGTTGTAGTCTCACATTCTCTCTGCCTCTCAGGTTTTCCTCTCCCTGGTACATAAAATGAAGGGAAAATGATTGAATGCTCACTCTGTTAGTTCTGTTACCTCATAGGGGCATCTCTCCTGCTCTGGTGGCTCAGGTCCAAGAGATACCTAGAGCGCCATTCAACTTCAGGAGCATGAACACTTATGTCTCCAATGCTTCATAAACACAGAACAAATGGTACCATCTCTTACCCCTGGAAATTAAAGATCATCAATAAAACAGATGCCAGCTTACTCACAAGTGGAAACAAGCATTTTCACCATTCCCAGTTTTCTGCAGTATTCACATGGATCTACTTGGACGACAATTAAAGTAGCACATCAGATAACAAATTAAATGTGTCAGAAGCATAAGGATAAAGCTTCCGTAGGAAAAAGAGTGGGCACAGCAATATAAACTCAGCTGTGTTTTTCAAGGGGAACAAAGAGAAACTGTGTGGACACAAAGGTGTCCTAAACAAAACCCCATGATTTGAGTCGGTTCAGACTGCGTGAATCGTGGCATAAATGATCCTGGCTTCTGGGCAAATCTGGCATCTTACACGACAGATACAGAGCCAACTGCACAAGCATCAACTCTGAGAGCAATAGCAGCATGTGCTACAGATGGAAATGACTAATGCTGAGAAGTTCAGGAATGAAATGTTAACTCACACTGCACTGTTTCAGATTTTGTCCCTTCCAGCCTTTTGGTTAATTCCTTCTTGGCAGGATTTCCCTGAATTGTTTTCTAGGTTGGTATCCATGGATTAGATCTGAATGAAAGGTACCTTAACAGAAGGCAAAGCAATGGGAGTTTCAAAAGTCAGCTTTCAGCCATAGCAGCTCCAGTCCTGGCAGTAAGTCAGAGCACGTAACCAATTAGGACCACTGAGGGACCTCTGACCAGCAGAGATTTGGCATCTGTATGAAGTACTCCCCTACCCCATTCTCATTCATCCTCCCAACATGCCACCTTCTCAGTGTCCTACAGGAGTATATTGATGGTCCAAAGCACAAATGAAGGGGTCAGGCATGAATGCATTTTACTTTTTTAGGAAGTCTTTCTGAAGAGTGGAAGACAGCACAGCTTTCCTCTTCCACAGATGGACTGAGCTGTGAAGATTTGTCTGCAACACAGTAAGAGATTGGGTATGCTGCCATCTCTGGAACACAGTGAAGTTTTGCTTATACAAATTCAATTTTTGCTCAGCTATTCTTTCCTGAAGCAACGAGACTTGCTCTTGTTCCATACATAATAACGGTAATTTGTATCCTGTGTACATGTGATGGAGAATGAGGAAAAAAAATTATTCTTGCCATCTTATTCTACTGAAAAAAACCCACAAAGACAAAAGAGTAGCTAACACTTTCCCCTGGGTAGTAAGGGTGTTAGTGAATTCATGTTTAATCTGTCCTTTTACTTCATTTCTACTGCTTTGTTTCTACTCCTTTCTTTCCTGGATGTTACCTAGCTCATGCACAAATCCATGGAAGATATTCAGCTGACAGCAGAAGACAGCAGCCATTTTTAACCATGTAAAAAGGATGCTGTGTAATGCCTATGAAGCACCTTGCTCTAGTGTTCATCTGCATCAGTGAAGTAACCAGAGGAAGCTTTGTGTCACATTTATCTGGAATAACACTAGACAATGCCTTATGCCATCTCTCCTATCTGTGACAGCCACCTGAGGCAAGCACAAAGTTGTGCCCACTCCTTCCTGAGCCAAGAAGCAGGACACAAGGTTGAAAGGTCCTGTTGGAGATGACTGAACACTGAA